ACGAAGTTGCCTCTCTCGAGGAACGTCACTCTTACACCTCTGAGATAAAGGTTTTACCTGTTCTTCATCAGAGAATTTAGTGAAACAAGGACTTGAGGAAACAGCAGAGTTTGACCAGTAGAAGCGCTGCTGCTGCTGCTGCTGTCAGTCCCAGTCCAGCCGTAATGCGCCGTATCCTATCCCCGACTCTCTGTTCTTCGTGTCTCTTCAGTTGGTTCTCTCTGATTCAGCTGATGCAACAGCTGTCTGAAGAGAACAAAGTGAAAAAAAACTATTAATATTAACTAGAGCTCGAGCAGCAAAACTCCATCAAGTCTAGTTCAGCAGCAGAGTCTCTACAACGACTGATAACGCATTTATATAAAAGACTTCTAACTGAGTTCTAGCTGATCTACTTACCAGAGACTGTTGAGTCGACATTTGCCAAAGTTTGCACCATAATCTGTTTTCGACTTCACACAGCAGTCATCCTGAGTCCTCAGTCCTCAGCTCTGGACACATGAAGTCTGATCGGTCCTTTCTGCTGAGACCTCTTTGTCACACTGACTCGTCCTTGAATAACTTTCATCTGAGATCTCTGGACTCAACAACGCTCATGTAGATGAATACAGGACTATTTGAGATTTCATGTATCGTCTCAGTTACAGATATCATAAATAGAGAAGTACGGTGGAGTGTGAGGTTTGGTTGTGAAGCTCCACGTCCAGTGTGATAGTTGTGGTTCTTCCTTCTGCCTAGATAGGAAAGCTCTGTGTTCAGCATTCACTAGCCAAATGTTTCACTGTTGACGAGACAGAGAGGGATACAGTGAGGAGCAGACTAACTGAGGACTTGTATCAGTTTTCTAGAAATAAAGTGAAGAAGTAAACTAACCAGCAGACACAGAGGTCAGTGTTTGAGAGCAGCAGGAGCAGACAGATTCATCTTTCTCCCTGTGAGAAGGAGACAGAGCTGAAGAGTCACAAAACACATGAGACCAAAGAAGGAAAAGCTACAGTCTGACTTCATCAGTCAGTTACGAGCTGCTTCCTCTTTGCATGATCCTGATCCTCATCCACACGACTCGATCATAAGGACTTTATGATGATCCAAAAACCATATGAACTACAAACCACTAGCACTGTACAACAGATTAACTATAAACCTAACTTATGTCCAAAATCTGCACACAGTTAATCACTCTGCACCCAATCTTAGAGGTTGCTGTTGACCCTACGTCTCGTGGTAAACCAAGGATCTGGAAGTTAATGCATCGATTGTGAATCAGATCAAATGCTTCGTGATCCAAGTGTTATGACAGAAAAATTGATACAAAGAAGTGTAAACATGACCTCCTTCCTAGTATACACTTACCTAACAATTCAGGCCAGTTTTCTGCAATGTTTTTGGTCCCTTACATTTGTAAAACACGATGGATCTCTAAACATAGAAACTGAATGACATCAATCTATGGAGAAATATTCCTCCCATGAAAAAGGCTAGGATTGGAAAGCCATTGCCACATCAAATTGATAAATCTCAAGTTATTACAGTCATACTTAAACTAAAAAATGCTAAATAACACCAGTCGATAACAAGAGGTGCTTTGCAAGACCTCAAAGATGACAACAGTCTTCCTATCATAATGTTGCTGTTAAATTTCATATGAGACACAAGTCTTCAGGACCATCTTTTAACGTATTAACATGATGACACTCTTTTTGTGATCATGCAGTATATATCAGTCTTATTTGTTGCGATTATCTTGGTCCTCAAAACATCCAGAAGTTAGTTTCAGACAATTGGCACCTGCAAAGAACCAACAGCTCCTTAGGTTAGCGCAAGAGAACGATCATAAGAAATATACTATAGTATGATTTCAGTTATGTTGTGCATTTCTTTATTGCTCCTTTTTTTCTGTACAACACTATGATATCATTATAATTATATAATTATATATGATATACATTCATATCCATACATATATACTTAACATTGCAATATACAGTGTCCTTTTAAAGTTGCACCCAATTTCAAAAGTTGCACTTTACAGGCTTTTCTGCTTTCAATCTTGCACTTTGTACTCTTTAAGTAATTAACACAATGTAATTAGTGATAAGCACTACATAATTATAGGGTTTTATCATATTTTGCGGGCATTACAAAGTGGACAACTTGTATCTACTGGATGATATGGTCTCACCTGTGTGTTCTTCACTGAGGCAGAAGTAACGGTCACATACAGTGATAGTAGAAAATTAAATTTACTTTTTAATTTGTGTTTATCTATGGTTGTATTGAAATAAAAAAAGACTATAAACTACATCAAAAACTTACTTTCACTTGTAGGAATAAGAGGAGGTTGCTTCAAGAATCCGAGCTCGACTCGTGCACTGTCACATATAACTATTCTAATAAATGTTGTCAAAGACTGCAAGCTAAATCAGCAGTAGTCAGTCAAACTACCACCAACGATACATATACATATAACACCACTTATAGGACTACTTCATACTAATACTAGTAATGATAGTGCCTGATAACTATAATACGTTTTATTATAACCGCAAAATTCACATTTATAGCCTATAAAATAGACAACACACTAAAACTTAAACACCGAATAATTCCTACAAGAAACGAATCCTAAAGTAAGATTTACTGTGACGACATTGCCAACAACACACCCAAAGTTAATGTTTACAAATTAATTATATGTATTTTAACTTCTTTCCATTAAGCCACACAATGTATAAAGATGGTGTTATTTTGCTACACACAATCCTAACCGCTAGCTAGCCATCATTGAGGAGACGTAGCTAACTTATCAATTTAGCTGAAGCTAGCTGAGCTAGCTAACTTATCAATTTGCCAGCTAGCTGGAGCCTCAGCTGAGAGCTGAGCTAGCTAAACTTATTCAATTTAGCTCGAGGCTAGCTGAGTTGAGCGAGCTGACAAAAGTTAGCAGCCTTGCCTCCAAGTTGGCTAACATTACAGCTGCCCCCTCCACCCACAAGTGAATCTACATCATTAAACAAATATGACCTGACCTTTTCCCTGGAGTGTTTTAATTCTTCAGCATTTTCTTGTTTTTTCTGCACCAGAGGAAATGGTCGCTTTTTGCATGCCATGATACTTGTTCACTTGTGGCGTGGAGGGGACTTGTAATTTAGCCAACTTTTGGAGCGGGCTGCTAGCTTTTGTCCAGCTGGGCAAAACTCAGCTGAGCCTCGGCTAAATTTGATAAGTTAGAGCTAGCTCAGCTGCCTCAGCTAAATTGATAAGTTATCTAGCCCTCAGCTAGTTCGGCTAAATTTGATAACGTAGCTAGCCTCAGCTAGCTGGTTAGGCGATTTGTGTGTATGCAAATTTAAAACCGCGATCTTTATAATCAGTGTCTCTATGAAAGAGTTAAAATACTAATAATATATTATCTTAACATTACACTTCTATGGGTTGTGTTGTTGGCATAATGTGTCGTCACAGTAAATTTACTTTTTAGGATTGTTTTTAGGGGATGTATTGTGTTAATTAGTGGTTTTGTCATTTATAGGCCTTATAATGTGATTTTGCGTTATAAATAAAACGTATTATATTGATTAGGTTACTATTTATATTAAGTAATAGTTGAATAACGTAGTTCCTATAGGTGTTTGTTATATGTACTTGGTGGTCTAGTTGATGACTCTGCTGATTTAGCTGCAGTCTGTTGCCACATATTAGACATTTATTTGACAGTGCAGTGTGCCCCTATTTGAACAAACCTTCCCTCTTTCGAAGGAAGTAAAAGTGTTTTGATGTAGTTACTATGTTTTTAGTTCAACACAACGATGAAATAACACAAATTAAGAGTAAATTTAAATTTCTACTTATACTTGTATGTGACCTGTTACTTCTCCCTCAGTAAGAACACAAGGTTGAGACCATATCATCAGTTAGATACAAAGTTGTCCACTTTTACATGCCCCGCCAAAATATTGATCCCATCGTTATAGTCATGTAGTGCTTATCACTAATTATACCGTTGTGTTAATTACTTATAAAGAGACAAACGTGGCAGATGAAAGAGAAAATAGCCTGAAAGTGACAACTTTGAAATGGACGTGCAGTACTATAAAAAGGACACTGGTATATTGCAAGTGTTAAATATATGTATATTATATTAATCATATATTGATATGTGTTGTACAAAAAAACCATGAGATGCAATCATAACTGAAATCATACTTATAGTCAATATTCTTCATGATCAGTTTCTCTTGGCTAACCTATAGGAGCTGTTGTCTTGCAGGTGCAATTTCTGAAATACTTGGCAGTTTTTGAGGAGTGATAAGGAAAACATAAACTGATCAATATACCATCATGTATCACAAAAGTAGTGTCATCATGTGTATACAGTTATGTCTCTATATTGATTTGTGTGTTGAACTGTAAAGCTCCGTTACTACCAGCAAATTAGTATTATTGCTGACTAGTTCTTTGTGTTTATTGTTTGCACATTGATTCATGGATGTTGGTCATTGTATTTTTATTCTAAGTAATAACCTAATGTAGTTTTCTGTTCATCTGGGCAATGGCCCCCAATGTACTTATTTCAATGGGAGGGAGATAATTATTATGTTTGAGTTAAGTTTCATGTTTAAGAACTTTGTTGCGTCAAATATTTAAAACAAACATTTTTGAGAAACTGCTGCATCTGTTGCAGGTCTTGTACATAGAGGAGCCTCAATGGTTTACCTTTTATTATCATTTTCTGCTAGGTTTAAATTGCTTGGATCAACCAGTGAAGATGTTAAATCTGAGTGTCACAGATTGATGCATCATTCCACGGATCATCTAAAAAGGTGTTTAGAATCCCCATCGTAGTTGTGACCCACAGTAGGGGCCCCAAACAGCTAAAAACGGCCCTGGGTGTAAGAATTAGGAATTTATGCAGGAGTGGAGAGTTTAACTTCTTGGTACAGAAATAATATTTGCTGCAAACACTGAAGACTGTAAGGTTTTTAATATTGTAATTGTTGTGACAGTGCATGGTTGTAGGTTCTTAATATGGTTTTTGGGATTCCTCAATACGAAGATCCTTTGATCAGTCGTGGTAGGGATCAGGATCATAAAAGAGGAAGCAGCATCGTACTGACTGAATGAATGTCAGACTGTTAGATTTCCTTTTGTCGGTTCTCATGTGGTTTTGGGACTCTTCAGCTTCTGTCTCCTCTCACAGGAGAGAGATGATCTGCGTGCATCCTCTGCTGCGGCGGTGTGCACATCTGACCTCACTGTGTCTGTGTTAGTTTACTTCCTTCACTTTATTTATCTAGTAACACTTGTATTACAAGTTCCTCAGTTAGTCTGCTCCTCAACTTTCCCCTCTCTGTCTCCTCAACAGGAACGATTTGTAAGTGACTACCGTGGAACACAGAGCTCCTATCATGGCAGAAGGAGAGAACCACAACATCACACTGGGTGTGAGCTTTCACAAGCCAAAGATCGCTCACTATCCTCTATCTTCTTCCTTTCTCCAATTCTATGTGAACTGTTTAACTGGAGTGACCATAAAGAGACTTCAAAGGTCCTGTTTATCTAACATGAGGTGTTGATGGGTCCCAGCAGTCCCAGGCAATGAACAGTTGTTCAGGACGAGTCAACAGTGTGACAAAGACGTCCTCAGAGAAGCGACGAATCAGACTTCATGTGTCCATGACTGAGGACTGAAGGATCTCAGGACTGTATTGCTGTAAGTGACACAGATTAGTGGTGCAAACTTTGGCAAAATGTCGACTCAACGTCTTGGTAGTAGATCCAGTAGGAACTCAGTAGAAAGCTCTTTTCTAAATGGTTATCGAGTGTGTGACAGACTCTGCTGCTGAAGTCTAGACTTTTGATGGAGTTTTTGTGCTGCTCAGACTCATATTAATATTTATAGTTTTTTTCATTTGTTTCTCTTGCAGCTAGCTGTTGATCAGCGTGGAAACTTCAGAGACCAACTGAGAGACCAGAACCAGAGAGTCGCGGTGGAAGGATCTGCCTCTAGCGCTGACGGACTGACAGCAGGCAGCCTAGCAGCCAGCAGCTACTGGTCTTAACTGCGTCAAACTCTGCGGTTCTCTCAAGGGCCTTTGTTACACTAATCTCCCTGATGCAGACAGTAACTTATTCAGAGGTGTAAGATGACGTTCCCAGAGAGAGTACTTCTTCTCTGTTCTCTGCATTCCTTTCACCCTGTCCTGTCCACTGAGGGCATGCCTTTTCTCTGAACACCCATGTCGACCTTCTGACCTTTCACCTCTGTCCACTGTCTTCCAATGCACCTGAGAGAGACAAACTGAACGACTGGTGAGTTCAGACCGGCCAGCACTAACAGGACGCTTCTTACTGTCAGAATGAGTCTCGATTGTGATATGAAAGCTATATTTATATTAGCAGTTTCAAAATGTGTAAATTTAAAACACAGGCTTTTCATTGACTCATAGTTAATATCCAACTGGTATCAGTTCTGATGTTTCTGGGACCACCAACTAAACGAGTTGTTAGGGTTCAGGCAAGGACGTGGTAGAACAGTCAGTTGTGGCTGTCAGTGTCTGTGATGCGTCGTCGTCCGGGTTGCTTCATGACAAAGCGTTTCACGCTGTCATGAGACGGCATCTCCTCGCATGAACACTAAATGATGACGTGATCGTAGGTGAGTAAGGATGTTCTGTTACTTCCCATGTAAGCTTAGTTCTCATCTACAGTTTACAGTCTTCGTCCTCTTTCTCTTGTTTTCGCGTTCTCTTCCTCGGGACTTCACCTGTCTCTTCTTACAAATTCAAGGTCAAGATGCTGCTAAAGATAGATCGGTATCGGAGCGATTGGGCTGCGCTGATGGACACCAACACACCACGTGTCGTCTGGCCGATTGGAGGAAGTGACATGTTTGATATTTGTGAATCAAGAACAAATAGTCAAAGGCTCAGTGACACTTCAGCACCGTAGAGAGTGTAAAACCAACCATCAAACTACTATCAAATATCCACCTTCCTCGCAGCAAAGCCGAGGGTAACATTTATCAAGAGTGACATATCTGACATCAATAATGAGACAGAGTATCAAACATTTAAAACTGGGTAATATGTTTAAAGTTTCTCACGAAACATGGCTTCGACAGTCACGAGAGTGAGTGCAGACTCTCTACTTTCCTTTGCCTAGTCTTGATAAATCAGTTTGTTTTTCATACATTTGAAAACAAGACTTTGTACGAGAGTTCATTTTATACTTTTATTTTGGTTTTTATACAGAATCCAGTCCCACCCCTGGATGTGGTTAATGGACTCCACCCGCCTGCGGAGGCGAGTTGTCGCTGTCGTCCTCCCAGGACGAGGAGGTGAACCCTGCAGGAGCGGAGATGGAGTGAGGCGCCGGGGTGTGGCCGAGGCCTTGGTACCGTCCGCTCGAGGAAGGGGAGGAGGGCATCGATGTGGCCGCCGCTGCGATGGGGTCCTGGGAGGACGCTGTGAGGAGGCCGGTGTGTTCGGTGTGTTCGGGTCGAGCTGATGTGCCGAAATACATCTTGTTGGGACGACCCAGGAACGTACGACCTGACGGGGGGGACGAGAGGGGATGTTCACCACAGCTGCAGGCAGCGAGAGTCTCCTCACAGGTAACACGGGTCACCAACTACAACCAGACATCACGTCCAAACTCAATCATCACTCACCAACATGGCGGACCTGCTCTGTGACATCAGCTCGAATGTCTGAGAAATCCCACATGGCCAGAAAGCTGTCGAAACATGACCCCTCCTCTGCTTCCTGGATGGAGGGATGGACAGAGAGAAAGAGGTCAGGAGAGGACGGATCAACAGGACTACATGATAGATGGATGGATGTATAGTTTACCTGTACGTAGGGCTTGTAGGTGAAGGTGTAGTGGTGAGCAATGGCAGCCAGGAACATCTCTATGCAGATGATGAAGTCCTATATCGATTAATGATAATGATTAGTGATAAAATCTCATTGATCCTAGAAGCTGAATATATCAACATTAGCTCCACCTTTTCCCACTGTAACATTAAAGTAATGTACACACTGATGAATCAATAACTGTAATAATATCGATTATTCTTATTACACTTTTACTTTTACAATAAAATATTTGAGTAATTCCACCAGTGAAAGTTTACATCATGAAACCAGAGGACAGGAAGTTCCCCTTTCTGTTCTCCGCTGTCAAGTTGAGAAACTTTAACTTTAACTTCTCCTTTGGCACCAACACTGCAGCGAATAAATCAATCATTGTTCAGGTGACGGTGTGTGTGATAAATGTGTGTGTACCTGCAGTCCAGTGGCCACGGCCTCCACGCTGTCCCAGTCCCAGGTGTGTTTGTCGGAGATCACGCCGACCTTCACCAGGAACGCTATGAACACAGCCTGCCTGAAAACAGAGAAAGAGAGAGGGGTGAGTGAGTACATCAGCACAGTTTACCTCCCCCCTCACCCCTCCCCCCTCCATCCTCACCAGAAGGAGACGAAGACCACCAGTTTGACGCAGAGGAACTTGCCCACGGGCCTGATGGGAGTCAGCTCCTCTCTGAGAGCTCGGTACAGCAGCACCAGACAGTACATGGCAAACTGTCAGAGACACAGGGTGAGGTTTAAGGTATCTCACGTGTGTGTGTGTGTGTGTGTGTGTGTGTGTGTGTACCAGCTGAGATATGTTGTTGATTATGACCAGGTAGGACCAGGCGTTTCTGAAGCTGAAGTTTGCTTCATCATAAACCCCACAGAGCTGACAGATCCTGCGGAGGGAAACACCGACTGTCACGTCACACGCTTCAACCTTCACATTTTACAACGTTCGTTTGTTTGTTTCTAAAACAGATTTGTGTCGACTTCAATTAACACTACACCGTCAATAACGGCAACAAATTCTCATTTTACGTCCACATCATTTTTTTTACACTGTAAGGCCCTGAGCCTGACCTTTGACCTTCAAAACACAGAAAGATAAAAATAAGGAAACGTGAAGTGGCATCACTGTGGTTACAGTACAAAGTCTCGAAGGTGTCGCCATGGTTACGTGAAAAACTTACAGTCCTGTCACCGTAGTTATGAAAAGAAAATTACAGTGGTGTCACCACGGTTACTGTAAGATATCTACCGTGGTATCACCATGGTTATAGTAGGAAACTTTCAATAGAGTCACGAGGTTACAGTGAGAACATCGTAGTTCTGTCACCATAGTTACAGTGAGAACATTATAGTTCTGTCACCATGGTTACAGCGAGAAAATTATAGTTTTGTCACCATGATTATGGCAAGAAACCTTCAGCGGTACCACCATGGTTACAGGAGGATATTGTCAATGGTGTCCCCATGGTTACAGTGAATCTTACAGCGCTATCACCGTGGTTACGGGCCTGACCACAGTGTACTGCAGGACTCCCAGCTTACACCTGAACAGCAGCACCCTGTCAGAGAAAGAAAGAGGAACAATTCAACATGTGTCCACCGGTATGTACGGTATCTGTCTGTTCATCAGTTACTATGACAACGTGGATCCATCTTACTCTCCCATGGGCCACGGCGGGCAGCAGCAGAGCGGGGGCAGGTGTGGCTGCTGCTGCTGCACCTCCAGCATGAGCACCAGGCTGGGGTACTGGTTACTGAGGAAGTTGAGCAGGAACACCAGGAAGTTGTAGATGACGTAGGCCTCGTAGCACTCCCTGCACGTGTCCACGTAGATGGCCAGGTTGGGATCCCGCAGAGCCAGCCACTGACGGGGAGGGGGAGGAGACGGGGAGGAGGATTATCTTTAATGTGTAGACATGATGAAATATCAAGAGAAGCTGTAGTGATGCTGAGACTGTGCAGGAGAGGATGTTACCAAGGGGAATATTTCATTAGCTGTAATAGAGTCAAGTGTTATCAGACACAGACGGGTGTGTGTGGATTGTAACTTGACATCTGGTCTTGTGACACAGTGTCCCATCGTCTCCAATTAGGCCCTGTTGCCGTGGCAACGCAGCGGAATAAAAGGGACGGATCACTGTGTGTGTTTGTGCGTGATTATGACTCACACTGTCCAAACTGTAGATGGGCACCATCCATAGTATTCTAGTGGAAAAAAGAGACGGAGACGGTGAGGGTCATAAAACAAACACACCCTCAGAAAAAAAACTAAAAGCATTGTTGTTAAAGCAACAATTTACCCCAAAATAAAGGTGCAAATGACGCCATTACCAAACTGTATCTTCAGCTCTATAGAAGCTTCAGTAGGAAGCTTCAAAGTTACAGCGTCTTACTACAAAACTCCCTCTGTAAGTAAGTAAGAAGGAAGGGTGAAGTTATTTGCACTCCCAGCCAGCAGGGGGCGACAGCACGGCTACAGCTGGTTGGTGTTTTTGAATGGCAGGAGACACAGCAGCTCAATAATGAACCCGACTGCAGGATAAAGATATAAACCTATAAAAAGCTGCAGCCTGTCACCACAGACACTCACCTGCTTCAGGTTAGTTTGTCCTAGTAAAGACACTCATCATGTGTGTGTGCCTGTGTTTGTTTGTTTGTTTGTTTGTTTGTTTGTCAGTGTGATTACACAAAAAGTACTGAACATGTTGCCACAGAACTCTTAACGGCCAGTGTAAGAAGAAGAAACCAGGTGCGTGTGCGTGTGCGTGTGTGTGTGTACCTGATGATTGGTTTCTGCAGCTCCGGCTGGGTGTAGTGCACCATATGCTGCAGAATCCCCCACAGTGAAATCGGGATGGTCAGAAAAACAAAGATGCCGGCGATGAACCAAGCTTTACTGTGAGTCCCGACCTGGGGAGAGAGAGAGAGAGAGAGAGAGAGAGAGAGAGAGAGAGAGAGAGAGAGCACTTGATCCACTTTCAGTTAATCTCTCCCGTCAGTTTTTTTTTTTTGGGGGGGGGGGTCTGGGTGGACGAAGAAGGAAGTGTACTTTGTCTTTCTGCAGCTCCCAGATGCAGAGCGGCAGCACGGCCACCAGCAGGAGGGCGTAGAGGACCAGGACCAGCGGGCGGATCCACCGCCTCCACTCTGCACACGAGCACGGCATCACGGCGGCTTCACCCTCAGCGTCGACTGCAGGCACGTCCTAAACCACAGGCCACACAGAGGGGAGAGGTAAAACTGATTCAAGCTCTGAGAACGGGCTGGATGAAGACGTCTGGAACCGGTTTACAGTTAAACTACAGTTAAACAAATATCATATTTAAGGTGTCATAACTTTTAGTAGCTAAGAACCTTTTATTTATTCTGTCAAAGTTAAAGCAGGTAAATCTAAAGCTTGATTTTGACCTGTAAATAACTTCCATCAATAACAAGCAGGTGGATCAGTCAGTTCAAACCCACAAAATAATAAGAAATAAAGATTTAAATTCTACAGCAGATGGATTATTCCCATTTCTCTCAGAGTAAACATCATGTACAGTAGATGTGATGCAGAGCTGAGTCTGTCAGACAGCTTTCACCACCTTAAAGCTACTGACAGGGAAATAAAACAGGAAACTATTTAAAGCAGCTTCGCAGTTGTTCAACTGTTGAAGGGGAAAGTGGTCTCAGATATTTGGATCCCTCCAGTTTACTGTTCAAAACACTTCCAGTCATGAGAGGATGAAAAGCAACATGACAAAACACATCAAGTGCACTGAATTCTGGGGGAAATATCACTGTCCATATAATGTGAATTGAACGACATGTTTTTGATTCTGTTTCAGCATCGTGAGAAATAAAGATTATTTCTATTAAACAAAGACAGTGAAACAAATGAACACTGAGAAGCAGTTTAGACAAAGCCTGGCTGTATGGACACGTGGTGTGTGTGTGTGTGTGTGTGTGTGTGTGTGTGTGTGTGTGTGTGTGTGTGTGTGTGTGTGTGTGTTAAAGTGACATAAATCACACCATTAGCATAAAGATCAGTGAGGTCAGGCCGCAGCACCTAGCATCACAGTGTGCTCGTCGTTGGCAGCTGGCTAAAGAAATTAATTCAAACTAACTCATTAATGTTGTTGCCGGTGAAAAACACGTTGTTGATAAATAAATAAAGTGAAAGACAGAAGAGATTTTCACCGTTGACGCTGCAGATCTTCATTCAGACTGACGGTTGGCCTGTTTTCCTCCTCGGTCCTGTCTCTGTTACCAGGCAACGCATCTCTCTCCTCCGCCCGACCGACTGCACGCGCGAGCACACACACGCGCGCACACACACACACACCGCAAAACTAAACTCAGCTGTTCGCTATACCTGATCACCACCGCCGGCCCTGATCGGTCACATCGATCCGGTAAAAAGATAAATAAATATCCGGTTACAACAACCGACAGAGAGGAGGCGGCTGTCCGCGTCTGGTCCCCCCTTGTTTCCCGTGTTTACGCGCTCACGTCACCGGGAGGAATGTGGACCATCTCTCTCTCCGTCCGTCACGTGCTCGGCAGAACACACGCACAAACAGGCCTCACCCTGCAAATTGAATTATCTTCATTTAAGTGGATTTTAATCCACATTCTGTCCACAGTGATGTCTCAGAAACGCTTTTTAAATTATTATTATTATTATTATTATTATTATAACATTTATTTACTCAACAGTCACAGTTATATTATCTGTATCTGTTATATCCATCTGTTTTACAGAGTCAGGAGAAAGGAATAGGAAACCAGAGCTGTATAGTAAAATAAATCAAGGGTTCAAGGGTAATAGATCCAATCGATCAGTCTCCATCAAAGACTGGGAGATTGGAACATATCACAACTAACAGCTGACTTTAAACTTCACAACTAAGGGAAAAGTTTCATTTTTAGATGGAAAATCAACAGTTTGTTTCTCAGCTGATCAGAAATTGAAACCATCAGACAGTTTTACAGCTGTTTTCACATTCTACAGATGTTATAGTGTTATTAGTCACTGTCACGTGTATGCAGATGCTGACACACCTGCATTATTACTGCAAAGAGACTCTTTAACATAACTGGACCATAGAGACTCTCCCTGCACATTAAACACGTGGATCCAAGAGCCTTTCTTTATCTTTTCATCATTCATCTGTTGCTTTTATGACCAAAGACCTGCAGAGCTAATGAGACTCCCATCGCCCTCAGCTGTAAGCTAACAGTGTCCCTGCTAAACATCAGCATGCTAACATGCTAACATTAGCATGTAGCTCAAAGTGTGTGGTGTGGAGTGGGCGGAGCTTCAGCTGGGAGCCATATGACTCTTCATGTGTTTACAGCAGCTCCTGACTGTGGGCAGTGTCGTGGAAAATTAGTCAAAGCAGGCATGTAGTACACACACACACACACACACACACACACACAGGGACTTTAAGCTTTGAGAATATAGATTTATTGATAAATAGTAATGTATATTTAATAAAAAATAAAAACAGAAGATGAATCCAGTTGTTGGAAGCTGTCTGACGCTTCCTTTATCCCTGTTATCAAGACATATTTTATATTTTTTAGTCCTTGTAGTGGCTGAGACTCCAACAGTAAAATCATCAACACATCAGTTTATTTGTTCAGTCAGCTGCTTCATGTTGTGGGTGTAATGGAACAGTTCGGCCTCTGGGGGCCGCTAGTGTGTTTTTAAACCTCAGACATCATCCTTTACAGGCAGAGTTGCAGTGGAATATGCTACATATAAAACACAATGATAAATACACCACATGGCCAGAAGTAAGTGGACGTGAACGTCACACACAGATGTGATTCTGCTGGTTTCAGTCTTCTCAGTATTTCTGAACCAGGCTGCAGAGATTTGTGATAGAGGTGTCCACACACTTTCGGCCATATAGTGTATAATATATCACCTTAGATGAATCAGCCTGTAATGAAATATAATATTTAGAACAGAAAAAATACATTATAAAAAGGTAAAAAACTACAGATTAGAGGACTGGTCTATAGATGGAGTCACAGTGTGCAGGTGTCTGATGTCTTTGTTCAGTCTGGTTCAGTCGTTGAGGTGATGGTGCGACGCTGCAGACGACGCTGGAGACATCCTCTCTCTCTCTCTCTCTCTCTCTCTCAGTGGTCAGTGTGTTTGTACTGCAGACTCGTCCCATGATGGAGCGGCAGCATACTGTTAGAGAAAGAGCCAGAATAACACCAGCAACACAGCCAGGACTGTAGAGGGAGAGAGAGAGAGAGAGAGACAGTGGGTAAGTCTGATTAAAGGGGTACTCCAGCGATTTAGTGTTTCACTTCAATAAATCTGAGAAACTCAAAAGAGACAGATTAAAAATAAAGGAATGATTAAAACTGAATCAGCAAAGGTGACGATTTTTCGGTCCCTTTATATAAAGCTGCATAAATCCTGGGTCCTACATCTCCCACAAGGCAGGCAACTGTTCGGGGCCCCAGACAGTTACGGGGCCCCTCCGAGGGCTGACAAACTGAACTCCACAGCAATGACTATTTGCAATGACATCTCAGTAGGAAACCTCCCTAAAGGGGCCCCGTGTCATTTCCTTGATGATTTGCAGAGACGTCTCTGAAGAAGTGTTGCCAACTATTTTCACTAAAATGCACATGTGCTTTTTTTTTCCAATCTAAAAAGAATTAGATTAAAATAAACTGACAGCTTTTATTTAGGTTTGTCATGTTCTTTGTATTTAGATTTTGAACTAACATGAACATTTGGAATAAAAAATGTTTAGATTTCATAAATTTTTTATCAGTGGCTGCCATTTTTTTTTACTAGAATCGCCACTTCCCATAATGCATCTTTCCATAAGCAACTCTTTAAAATGCAAATTCCCCTCCACATCTTTCAAAACCCCATTCTCCCAGTTTATAACACAGGCTTTCTAAATGTGTCCCCTCCGAGCCCGAGCTGAGACGCCACCTGATGACATCACTACGTCGTCATCAGCTGCCGACTCGTGAAGGCCCGACTCATATCAATTCTTAAAATCCTGAACTCGATCTTTATATCTACGCTGAATGTAATTCAGTTAGAGCTGCGTGACTTGTGTGAAACACTGAGTCATTGCAAGCTGCACACAAAGCTTATTTTAAGTAGGAGAGTGACGTAGCCGATGGCTGGATGTTTGAGACACACCTGTGAACTGTGAGGTAAAGCTTTGTGACTTGAAATGAGATCCCGCCCACCTGATGTTTATGCGTGGAGTCGGTGGAGTGCCCCTTTAAACCAACATGTCACTGCTCACTTCCCACAAGTCTTTTATCACATCCTCCAGATATTTACAATCCCAGAACACACCACAGCGTCTTTCAGTCTGGACCTCTCTCTCTCACTCTGTTATCTTGTGTTATCTTTGTCTCACGCCCTCTGACCCCGTGACCTCGTTGTGATGTCACACTGACTCAGAGAGAAGCAGACTCGCAGCTGCTTGGACGTCACGTTCAACTGTCGTCAACTCGACCTCAAAGCACAACTGTGTTTTTGTTTTTACCTTGAAGCAGTTCTTGAACTTCTTGGAGACGAAGAAGAGGATTATGGGATTGATGCAGGAATTGATGGTCGCCATGTTGATACTGAAGTAGTCCAGCACCAACAGGAAACTACAACCACAGAAGAAGAACGTGTAACATTAGAGAGGAGGAGGATACAGTGTGGCTGCAACAGGAGGGAAATACAGTAAATACTCCAACCAAACACGTTTCTACACCTACTTTAATAAGTCGCACCGCCGTGCATCATGGGATTTGTAGATGGTCCTCTTCAGCAGGCGACTCAGATGAAGTGGAAACCAGCACAGAGCAAAGATCAGCACCAGGCAGAACACGGCCTTCGCTACTTCTCTACGCTGCAGAGAGAAGTTCACCTCAGAAGCCCGGTTGTGTATTTCATATATATTATTTTGTCCAATACGCATACTGTCCACTGATTGTGAGTGTGTGTGTGTGTGTGTGTGTGTGTGTGTGTGTGTGTGTGTGTGCGCACCTGTTTCAGGTGTTCACTCAGCGAGATCCTCAGACTTCCTTTCTGGTGTCGGAGCATCTCGCAGGTCATCAGGCCGTAGAAAACAGCGGAGCAGGCCAGAGGGACGCAGAAGTAGAAGCCGAACAGCCACCAGTCCTTCGCGTCCCGGTAGAACTGGATCAGACAGAATCACACACACGGTCAGAACATCAGAACTCGAGACCTGTTCTAGATGGACGGTTCTTTTTTAACTTCTGTATAACGTCTTCGCATCACTAGGCGACATATTCACAAAGGATCGAATCTCACCACCAGGGTTCCTCCTAGATCACCGGTTCCCAACCTGTGGTCCGGGGCCCACTGGTGGGACGCGAAGGTATTGCAAGTGGGCCGACAAATCATTTGCAAAAGTGTACAATTTTGGTGAAAAGACAGCTGCTGGCTATCTCAGTTAGTGCGCCAAAAGATTACATGGCAAAAACTAGGGAATCAAAATGGATAGCTGTTAGCAACAGGAGGAGTTTAAAGGACGGTCATTAATGAGAGAAGGCATAGTTGCAGGGTCGGATGTGGACCATGAGGTGGATAAAGGTTGGGAACCACTGTTCTAGATGGTATGTAAAGTTTCCAACGAAATACTCTTTCATAAAGAAACAAAGAGAAGTCCTGAGCCAAGAGAAGGGGCGGGGCTTCACCCCATTGCTAAGGATGACATCATGTTTCATGAATGAAGTGTCGGTAAATGTGAAATAGAACATTCATGAGCAGATTAAATTAGTTCAGGTGGATAGATAATAATAATGTGCACTTCATGACTCATCAAACGAAGTGGGGTCTGAAGAGCATTTTTGGTTTGATGAATAATTCTGTCAGACGGTCGAGAGAGTGACTCCGAGTGAGATCATCAACGCTGCAAACTGTAATTTACCAGTGTGCACGTTCAAGATTCACTTTGTGAATGAACAAAAACATTATCGTTATCTATAAACTGTCTGAACTCATGAATCTTTATAGAACCTCAGGAGCATCTAATATTTCTAGAACCTCTTCAAACATCTCAATAGAACCCACCTACCAGCCTCAAAACCTCCTTTCAGCCCATATGTAAAACCATCATTCTCTATCTGGAACCTCTCTGAAAGTATTAAGACTCTTTAGGAACTTTTTAGAACATGGACTGTATGTTTTAGAACCTGAATTTGGAGGAACCTCGCAGTACCTTTTCACAAATCAAGAAGTATTTGTGACATTTTCAAACCTTCACACATAATGAGGCATCTTAACCAAGGGTTAACGAACCCTTACCGAAACCTTTAAGAACTTTCCGGAAGTTTTGATAACACCTTGTACAGTTTTAGAAGATCCTAAAGTCCTTTAGAACCTTTACAACTTCCCTGAGGGCATTGGACGTCACCAATTCTTTGAGGACATTGTAGAACCGTCATATAATCTTACCATATGATCATTCTAGAACCACCTTTATCGACCTAGAACCGCTGGATCATAACCTTTCGTTGGTGCTAGTTTGTCGATTGTCAAATGAAATACTTCAGAACACTGTGATATTTGCTGACGGCAGTTTAAATGTTATGAAAAGGCCACGTCTATAGACTGAAAGCAGGTCAGCTGACCCAGGTTTTAGTTTCGAGCGCTCGGGCTGAGTTTGTTTACTTCAGTCACGACCCAGAGACATAAACAGGAAATTATGTTGTAAACTGTCAGAGTTGAAGAGACCTCGCCCTCTAACACAACAACAAAGATATCATGGAAATGGACTAAAGAATCCACTTATCCCCTCCCCACACACGCAGACCATTCATGATCTAGATGAATCAGAATCAACCTTTACACATTTCCCGCAAAAATTTTATGCAACTGAAAGTTTTTATCTCAAAAATCAGAGGGAAGTTGTTGATCTTGTTTTTCTAAATACTTCCTCGCTCTATTAAATGCTTTCATTATAGCTCAAAACAAGTTATAGATGGAAGTAGAAAGTCTCTCAAAGGTTCTGAAGCAAGACCAGAACAGGTTCTGGAGTGTTTTAAGAATCTCTAGTTCAGAATTAAACTTGTTTTTAAGAGTGTAGGGAAGGTTTACAGGAGCTGGTGCCACCTAAAACTGGTGTCACGTCACGTCCATGTAGAACGACTAAATGCTTATCAACACACTGACATAAACACACACACACCAGACTACACACACATACTGCACACACTCTCACCTGAAAACAAACATGGAGTCTCTCGCTGAAAACACTTATGACACACTCACAGTCATGAAAGCCGTGTTGGGCTGCAGCATGCAGGTCTTCATGGTCATGTTCTTGTATTCGAAGGTGACCATGTTGAAGCCGATGGCCTCCGGCACAGCCAGCACCATGGACAGCAGCCAGATCACCACAATTTCCACCGCCGTTACCGTGGGAACGCCTGTGCCCTGTATCCGAGACCAGGACGCCACCGCGCGATACCTGCGTACAAGGTTTTACAGTTTCAAAAAAATGTACTTATTCTCTCTGGATAGACACGTGTGTTTACTGTGGTAACGTTTCCGTTTATTTAACTGGCTGCTTGAATTATTGAATTATTGATTAATTATCGCTTCAATCATATACTTTCAGCAGTAGTAGCTTCATCTGTGTCTTTATGTAAACCAACCCTGCAGGGGTTGTAGAGTCGGCTCTGTCGGTTGTAATACTTCATGTAATTATGCATTAACATTATTATAATTATTATTATTATTATGTGTGTTCTTGTCCTTGTAGCTTTGTGGGGACCTTTGTGAGTTTCAGACATTATGAGGACTTCTTTGGAAAGTGACAACTTTTTGTTTGGTCCTCACTTCCACATTTGGTTTTAGGGTTAAGGATAGAATTTATTTTAGGTTGAGGTAATGGTTAGGGTTAGACGTGTAGTTGTGATGGTTAAAGTTACGGTTACAGGCTAGGGAATGTTTTACGTCAATGACGGGTCTGACTATGAAAGCATGAGTGTGTGTTACCTGTCGACACTTAGCGCACACAGATTGAGGACGGTGATGCCGACTGACGCTTTCTGCAGGAAGGGGAACAGCTTGCAGAGGAACAGACCAAATGTACTGTCCGCAAACGGCCACCGCATTGCCAGGAGCTACACACACACACACACACACACACACACATCCACCAGCAGAGCATCAACAGATTAACATAATATCACGGTGTCAGTGTGTGTGTGTGTGTGGTGTGTTATCTCAGTTTGTGGGATATTTTAGTGCCGTTATCAGTGTGACACTCAACCTCCTGACTGAGACACACAACACACACAGATACCACACATTTATGCTCCTGTTAACTGAGAGCTGAACTGATTACAGTCTCATTATTTATATTTTTAGTCAAATCTTTTAAGCATAAAAAGATGTTCGTGGATTAAATATCACAAAAAATAAAGCATGTTATTAGAAACTGACATTTGAATACATATATACAGTAAGAATGAGAGACCGTACTAAAGTGCTGTACCTTGTAGACGTTGATTGGTATGTCGATGGCGATGTATATCAGGTCTCCCAGGGCCAAGCTGGCTATGAGAGCATTCGGTCCATTCCTCATGCTTTTATTTTGGTAGATAATCCTCAGCAGGGTGGCATTTCCAATGATCCCCACAGCAAAGATCACGCAGGACATGACGGTGTTGATGTACTTGAAGGCGGTTTTTATGGATGTCTCTTGAACGCAGCTAGGGGGCGGTGCCAGGCGCTTGTGAACTGCCAGAGATGAGTTGGAGGAAGACGAGGGAGGATTTCTTTCATGTTTGTGTTTCAACTTGCTGGAGTGTTTCAGCTTCCCCAGTCCGTGCTCCAGAGGGGACAGCGGCTTGTTCACAGTCTGTTGCGCCAGATGTGGCTCTCGGTCTGAGGTGTGGATACGATAGTCCACTCCAGGCGGGTCGGTGCTGAGGAGGTCAGGCAGGTCCGACATCATCTGATCTGACGAGAAGTTACCACGGCAACCGACCGGAGAGGCAAACACCAAACACCAGACAACCGGCAGCACAGTAAACATCCCTGGCATGGATGTAGAACCGGAACCCAATCTGGGTCCCAGTCTAGAACCCTTTTCTGAATCTGCTGCTTTAACCCCAGAAACCATCCTGCAGAACTCTCTGTGATCCTAGAACCCTCTGTGATTCAAGAACCCTCTGTGAGCCTAGAACCCTCTGTGATTCAAGAACCCTCTGTGAGCCTAGAACCCTCTGTGATCCTAGAACCCTCTGTGATCCTAGATCCCTCTGTGATCCTAGAACCCTCTGTCATTCAAGAACCCTCTGTCATTCAAGAACCCTCTGTGATCCTAGAACCCTCTGAGCCTAGAACCCTCTGTGATCCTAGAACCATCTGTCATTCAAGAACCCTCTGTGATTCAAGAACCCTCTATCATCCTAGAACCCTCTGTGATTCAAGAACCCTCTATGATCCTAGAACCCTCTGTGATACTAGAACCCTCTGTGATTCCCTTTCTGAAACCCCACTGCTGTAACTCCAGAATCAGTGTTGGAGTGAGTTCTAGAGGCTCCAGAGGTTCTAGAGGTTTGACATCAGAGCAGAACAGTGCGGAGAAGGTGTTGGTGATTCTCAGATGCTGGAGAACAAAACGAAAAACAAAACAAGTGATCGGTTAAAGAGCACAACTTTGCAAAATGATAAAAAATAGACAAGATAAGCGGATCTGTTCTCCAGCTCGATGTTGTCTGGTGCTGGGCCGGTCGAGTGCGGTGGGTTTTTAAGAGTGAACCAGAACAGTAAAGTTCTGAGACGTTAAACCGAAACGATTCACTGAAAGATTGAAGAGTTGAGGAGAGTTGCTGAGTCAAGTGATAATTCTCTGTGGGTTCATCACTATGAGCAACTCTCTGTTTCAGCTCATAAATGGCCTTTAACAGACCTCGAACTGTCTGGGCTGCAGCGCGTTAAGTGTTTTTATTTGTTTAATTTCTCAGGGCTGGTCGAGCAGTAACTTCCCAGTTACAGCCCCGACAGATAAAAGCAAATAACTGGGTTTAAAATAATTATTTCCTGAATATAGCCTTTGAGTTTTTGAAAGGAAAATATTAAAAAAATGTAAAGAGACATTACACCACATGACTTTATGCTCATTGTAAAACTACAATAAATTATGAATTGTAGTAGAATGAATTTCCTTCTAAAATTTGGAAATAAACTCCAAAATAAAATTCAAATTTTTACAAATTAACATGAACATCGAAGGGAAATTTAAAAAAAATCTCACCTGTTTGTGTTTTTGTCTCCTTCTGTGATTTGAATTAAATCCTTCCAAACTTCACTTCAGTGTAAACAAGAGAAGAAGAAGAGTGCGCTCCGCTTAGTGAAGAGAACGCTAATGAAGTGCAACTGACGGAGCTGAGGTTTTACTCTCTCTCTCTCTCTCTCTCTCTCTCTCTCTCCCTCTCTCTCTCTGATAGCTGTAAATGCTCGCACGCCCCCACTCTCACCCCCTCCCCACTTTTCTTTCCTATTCATTTCCCCTTCATCCTCTTCTCCCCTCCTTCCTCCGGTAACCTCTTTATCTTTCACCAGCTAACGCTTCACACTTTCTCTCCTCTTTCATCCCCCTATTTAATAATAATAATAATAACAATGATAAAATTTAATTAAAGTGCATTCGATGTTACATTTTCTAAAAGCTGATCTATAACAATAAATCTGTAGTAAAGATTAAAAAGACACTGTTAGTAGTTTAGACATGAGGAGACTCTGAACTTTTATGATCTCACACACACACACACACACACACACATGCGCACACACACACACACGCACACACTGTAATTGAAACCAAGCCAGTCTTAACCCAGTTTTCCCACTTAAGAGGTTGTTGATAAAACAATGTTGTGGAAATTGAGGCAGTAAAATTTATTACTGCGTTTGAACGACAAATTTTACTTTATTGGAGCGTTTGAACACGAGTGATGCCAGACTCAGTTTATTACACCAAGAGTTTACTGTTCATTTATTTTATTCCTTCTGATTTAAACATATTCCTTCATTTGCAAGAAGTTTTAAACTGTTCCACAACCTCAGCCATCAAAGAGACATTTTTAATACATCTATGTAATGTTTCCACAGTGTGTTCATTATTTTTGAACATGTGTCTTACGTATTTGTAGGTGACAGAAAACAATATCTGAACATAAGCACATTCCATTAAACTGTTATTGACAGGAATGTTGTTTAAAACTGGGAATAACTTGGTTTTTTTTTTTACATCATTTGGGGAAAAGTAAATAAGGAATAATATTCTTACTGTTACAAATGAGAAGTTCTACTCATTTACAATAAAACACACTCTGTTCATTTCAGTACACACAGGGGTTTTACTGCTCCAGCCTCACTTGGTCTGGTATGCCCAGTAGCTTTTGGTGGCAAATGTAAGCTAACGTTAGCTAGATTTTTCAATACAACTGAGCCACTTCACTGACTTAATGAGTCTTCTTTACCAGTGCTATTGTTACAGTAGGTCTTAGCATTTAGCATCATCCCATAATTGTCACTTGTGTTCAGCTAAAGTCAGGTTCACTTTAAGTCAAACTTGTTAGCAAACACTTGTTTACACATCCAGCAGATATGGAGCGACGTTATCGTTCATTTGGAGTCATGTTTGTGTGAAGCTAAGTCCAATATTCACTCTCTTTTAGCTCTGTTTTTGGTCTCTACCGACTCCGTAGGGTAATATCCATCTCTCTAGCTGCTACATGCTAAATGCTCACCGGCTGGATGCTGCTGTTTAGCACTGAGCAGGTAGTGTACAGCGGGATTTTAGCTGGATTTACAGCTGCTAGGTGAAGCAAACACGACGCTGTGAGAGCAGTGAATGAACCAAAACAGTAAAGTTTTAGCCTTTAAACCAAAACAAGAAGCTGAAAGATGCTAAAACACTGGGTTCGATATATAAACATAGACTATAGCAGCTTCAAAGAATGCTTGAATTTGCACATTGCACAAGATTTGCTTGTTTTTTTCCAAGATCTCTTCCCAATAAAAAAAAATGATATAATTTACTATTGTTTACTAACAAGAAAAACATGGACATGCTGAAAGTCTCCTCCAGGAAACCGAATTGTTTTGTTTTCTGAGATGATCCTGGAGCTTTCCCACCACCATCAGTGATCTGCTGTGACGATACAGAGGTTTAAACATCTGTCAGTGACACGCAGCCCGTGTTGTTCCTGAAGGGAACGTGTTCGTGGCAACAACACGTGCAATAAATATTGTGTTTATACGTCTGTGTCACGTGTATATTAGTCTGAACCAAACCTGTGGATGTTATCTATCTATCTATCTCTCTATCTCTCTATCTATCTATCTATCTCTCTATCTATCTGACCTTTAACCACAGACAGTTGATATTCAGTCAATGTCAAAGCTAAAGTTGGTTTTACAAAGAAGTCTGTGTTATCCTTGTGGAGATACAGTATGTGGGCCATCAGTGTGTGTGCGTGCGTGCGTGCATGCATGTGTGGGTGCATGTGTGTGTGTGTGCGTGCGTGCGTGCGCGTGCATGTGTGTGTGTGTGTACGCTGTTTGTTACAGTAAACACAGAGATAAACAAATGAAGGATCTACGTGACTTGAACCATGCAGACACATAATGGGATCTCTCTGAGACACACACACACACACACACACACACACACGAGCAATAATACAACATCCAAGGCTTGGAGCCCTTGAGCAAGGCATCAGTGGATAGTACATTTGAATGTAACACCCTGAGACAGTTGCAAAGCCTCTGTTTACATCACTTTATCTTCTTCTCCTCCTTTGTTATCAGTACATCACTAAATGCCATCTTACTGTCACATTATGTCTGGTGCAGGTTCAGAAAGTTTTATTTTGGTAATTAAATTAGATTTATTTGACTATTTCCTGACTTTATTGCAGAGATAAAACTAAATATATATTGTAACTGTAAAGACTAATTTGATAAATGTTTTTATTTGCAGTAGAAACAGACCCACAGTAGCTGGTGTCAGACTGACTGCTGTGCACAACAGTTGATGTTCATGTAAAAACCATGATTTTAATTCCCACTTTTCTCTTCAAAAGCGACGCTGGTTAATGAACAAATTACACTTGGAGCCAATTAGAATGAGAAGAACAAACCAAATCAGACCCAGAGACTGGGTGAAAACAGGCAACAAAGAAAGACAGGAAACGGGCTCTCTGTCTCAGCTGCTGCTGATTTCCACCCTGAGCATGAAACTTTATTAGAAACTCTGCGGCTCTTTGAAGAGGAGGAACACGTCCACCACCACAGAGCGAGCATGACACAGTTTCCATCCCAGCTGTGGTGAGATGGAAAAGTTTTACTCCGAACATGTCAAACATCTGAAAAAAAAAGTGTGTGTTTTGTATTAACCCAACAGGAAATTTTTATTTCTCATGCAGATGCTGTTAACATACAGCTAGCCCTTCATATTGTTGTATTTAGACTCTTTGTTATCCCTTTACCATTATCCTTCATTTAAGTGTCACTTTTCTATATTTAATTTTGCAACTTCTTCTTGTCCTATATACACAGGGTGCCCATGCAAAAGATAATGAGTCTCTCATTGGACCACTCTGTCTCATTTAAGGTTGAATTGCTGAAGAGTAAAAAATATGACTGATGGAGTGTAAAGAGCGAGCAAACTTTGTTTAATAACAATATATATGACAGAGGATTCCACAGACTTTACAGGAGAAAGAAAAGGGGAAATAGGGAGGTAGAAAATACAGGGAAGAAAATATGTAAATATAAATAAATAAATAACCCACAAAGCAAATGTTTTAAAATCAAGCAAGATGCTTTTTAGAGATGTGCACTGATTTCATTTATCTGACATGCTGTGGGAGGCTGTCCTGGAGTTGAGGAGCGAGCAGCCATCTTGAAAATTAAATATTCAAGAGAACTTAATAGAGAAATGAACAAATAACAAAATAAATGTATAATTTACATGAACAAATTTAACAAGAGAAACAGCTGTTCAACAAAAATAAGAAATGCCATTAGGTATACCAAGATATAAATGATGTAGCAGGTTATAAAGTGTGTTGTCTAGTTAAGTAATATACGTGGACATATGGGATAATGTAAAATTATGCACGTACCTGTAGTACTAGGCATTCTGGGAAGTGTAGTCTGACCAAACAAACAGCACAGTACAAAATGAAGGAGGTCCTGAGGGTTTAATGTCTCTGTTAAAGGGGGAAAATAAGGTTAAGTTATCTCTGAATGGAACCCACCCCGCAGCTCGGGGTTTAGCTGTTACCAGTGTTGGTACGCGGCCTTTCCGGTGTTGTCATGGTGACGGTGAAAGGCTGCAAACTGCTAAAGTTTTGTTTTCAGCTTCGGTATGTTCACATTTCTGTCATTGTTTGTGTATGTTTTCGATTCTTTTTAAAGCTTGTAACTGAACGTAGTGTCATTAGAAAAATAAAAACGCGTTTAAATACAGGTTTTACTTCAAGAATAATATTTGTAAACGTTGTAACGTCTGTTTTGAGTGAGTTGTAACGGTAAACTGCTAGCTTAACTTTAGCCAAGCTAACTTAGTTTTAGGTTAGCTTCTCTTCAACACAGAAGGATGTTGTCCTTAACTTATTAATTTCACAGTGTGGTAAAACTCAAGCTATATTTACTAGCTTTTATCTCTGTAGTTGCTTTGACATATACGTTAGGACTCCATGTTGGGTTAAAAGTTAAGTATTATATTTCATTCTCAACCTTCAATTTTCATTTTCCAGTTTCCAGAGATTTCAACCATATCTGTCAGTCTTCATCAGCAGATGGATTTTTCCCAGGTAAGAGCTCAGATCATTTCACAGCTGCCTCAGACTGTAAGAAGAGAGTAGTTTTAGTACCAATTGCTGACCTGTAACTAGTAACTCATTCAGTTATTTTTACTTTGTTTTTATTCAACTGGAGCAGCAAATAGGACACAGCAAAAAATAAAAATTAATTACAGAAAACAACAAAGCATGTAAATAACACAACCTGTAAATTTAACAACAAATCAGAGGTTGCAAGGTTGTGCTGCCATCTGCTGCCTGGAAATGACTATTAAACATAAAAACAAAGCAAATCCAGCAGGACTCAGATATAGTAAGTGTTTGTGTGCCCCATGTTTGACTGACAGGAGAAGATGGACACCGCTGAGACACGGAAGCGCACCGCGTCATTTCTACCAGACATTACCACCAACAGCAACAAATGGAAGAGAAGTTCTCAGTATCAGATCAGGTGTGTTCAAAAAGAAGTGGACAAGCATTGACTCAGTGTTGATACTCACACTGTATTTTTATTATTCTTGGTAAAAACATGTTTCTTATTCAAAATTGTCAAGGGCAGTATTTGAGTAAAGGTACGTTTTGTGTGTGTGTGTGTGTGTGTGTGTGTGTGTGTGTGTGTGTGTGTGTGTGTGTGTGTGTGTCTCCAAACTAGATCAGTATCAGATAAACCAGCTCACATCCTCTCCAAGGAAGAAGTTGCACAGTGAGTTCAGTCTCCATGGTAACCAGGTGGATTTTTACTAGTTAGTAGCTGTGAATGTGACGGGACGACTTCTCATCACTGCTCTCTCTGGATAGTGATGATGAAAACAGTGACCTTGACATTAACCTGTCCATTGCTGTATTCATCATTTTTGATTGCTGGCTGGAAGCCATTAAAGCCCTGCTCTACTCTGCTTTATTCTCACCTGATAGGAAAAGTTACATAAACGCCCTCAGAAATAATCCAGATACAATGCACGACAGAGCTGAAACCTTAAAGCGATGCTGTCGCCGTAACTTCAAAGCAGCATGGTATCCATCAATCTAGTAAAACTTGAAGATTTTATCTTCAAATTTGTTGCAAAAGGCTGACAATTGAAACTAGCCCGTTTATTTTAATCTAGACAGATCAGAGTCAAAAAGGAGATGGATGATTGAGGGTTAAAGCTTTATTTTGTCCAATTTTCAGTAACAAGAATCAGAATTTTATGAAACTGAACACTGGGTACCTGGGTATCTACACTACAATCTGACTTACTGCAGCTGTGAACTGGCTGGTAGTCATAGAGTAGAAAGGTTTGAGCGCCCTCTGCTGCCAAACAAGCAGAATAACTCACAGAGAACAGAAATCAAGACTCTCAGCAGACGTTTCAGTGAAAGTTTTAGTGTCACTCTTTCGATATTTCACCACAATTTTGTGACATTTTGTTTTCTCCAGGTCCAGAAACAGTCTGAAACAGAACATCTGTGTGAAGATGCTTCAAGAAGGTTACCACAGGTATCTCTGTCCCCGTCTGTTTTCATTGTATCTGTGATCATGGTGGCAGTGGTGTTGGATTTTTGAGGAGGTATGAACTATATGAAGCAGCTTTCAGTTGTAGATTAATGTGCAGATACATTCATGTAGTGTTGTGTTGCTACATTGATTTCTCATTTATTCATTGTGAAGTTGTATGTTGTTATAATTCTGTCTTTCCTCTCTCTCAGGTCGTTCTCCGAGGTTTTCTCTTTGCTGAAATCTGAGCAGGAGTGGAGGGAGGCGGCTGAACCTGGTTCAGCTCTCAGGCTTCAGACTCCACTGGAGGAACAGAGCGATAAACTGGAGACCATGAGGCGGCACCTGAACCGGGCCGAGGAGGCTGAAAGGATCGGTACACACACACATATACAATTTGATTCTATTCAGTTTGTATCAATAGAAAATAAGACAAACACATGCACATGTAGTTTCTGATAAAGGTTTGTGCTAACTGATAAAATGTGTTGAGTTTCCACTTAAATACATGCTTCCTCCTTCTGGCATCCGCCAAGATTCAGTGTGACTTCTTATGGTGAGATTTAAATTAGGAGTCAGATTAATATGTTGACATGTGAATAAGAAAGTCAACTGTGAATTTAAGTATTTTCATTTACGATATAATGACGTACTGGGCTAGCAGATTTTTCCATACAGTGTGTGTGTGTGTGTGTGTGTGTGTGTGTGTGTGTGTGTGTGTGTGTAGGCTCCTGGTCCATGGTGTGTGAGCAGCGCCTGTTGTTGGCTCGGTACTTCACGGCTCCCGAGGATCTGTGGCTGAGTTTGCACTTCTACCACAGCTGTGCAGACAGAAAGCAAGGGGGGCGCTCGAGACCAGCCACCGAAGCCCGGGCCTGCATGGCTGAGCTCTACCTGCTGTGAGGTGGACACCACACACACACACACACACACACACGTGATTATGGAAGTTTAAGATGAAACAACATGGAATAAAGCTGATTCAGGAGAGTCCTGTCCATCTTGCAGGAGAGCTGCAGCAGGCGATGCATCAGGCGGAGCTGTGCGTCAAGCAGGCTGAAGAAGGCGGCTGGCTGGACTCCGCCGGTCGGCCCCTGAAGCTCCAGGCTTGCCAGACACTGTGGGGCATCTACAACCAGCTCGCTGATGCTCCGCTGGACGCTGCAAACTACGAAGAGGCCCTGAAGCTGCTCCACAAGGGCTACAACATAGCCACTGAGTGTAGGTGGAAGCAGTCAGCGTGTGCCAGCGGTCGACTTCATCCTCTCAGGTGTCAGTTTATTAGGAACACCCCTGTAATAATAATCATTCTGTAGTAATGTCGGAGGATGTAGCTTGTGCTGTTGTTAATTCATGTTGGATTATACAGAGCGGTGTAGAAATGTGTTGGACATGATAATAGAAACAGTGTGATGCAGCATGAGCTAAGCTGAACATTACAACCTTTATGAATTAGGTTTAACTGCTGGACTGTCGTATTAGACATTGAGATGGCTGTAAATATAAAATAAGCAAAGTTAGAGTGATGATAAATGATGTACTATTTTTATTGCTTTGACTGATCAATTGTTAAAGTGAATGGAATGTACCAGGGTACATTGATAACAAAACCTATAATCACAACACAATAGGACAGAAGAGCTGTGAAGTTACTCTGTCTGTTTCAGCTGAAGACAAACAGATCCAAGGGGAGGCCACCTATCGACTGGGAGCGGCCTATCAGCGCGCAGGAGACCATGACACGGCCAAAAAGGTACGTGTGTGTGTGTGTGTGTGTGTGTGTGTGTGTGTGTGTGTGTGTGTGTGTGTGTGTGTGTGTGTGTGTGTGCACTGATGTGTTTCTCAGTTATTATTATCTACAGCTCAGAGGAATAAGACACAGCAGGCTGTGATACACACACTATACACTTCATTTTTGTATGTGATTGTGACGTTTACTGACAATAAGGAAAACACAGTATCACCAGATTTAATTTTAAAAGGATGTAATTACATTTTTATTCAGCAATAAAACTGTGTGTCCAGTTCTTCAGCACTTGCATGCAGATTTACGGCACACTGCAGGATGCAGACGGATTGGTGAAGGCGTACAAGGCTATGGCCAAGTCTATGGAGAGGTATACACACACACACACACACACACACACACACACACACACACACACACACACACACCTGAACCTGTGGTCAGCAGCTTTGAGAAATAAGAAGTGTACATTCAACAGTATCCCAGATTCTTGTGTAAATGTGTGTGTGTGTGTGTGTGTGTGTGTGTGTGTGTGTGTGTGTGTGTGTGTGTGTGTGTGTGTGTGTGTGTGTGTGTGTGTGTGAGACAGTGGGGGACAAATAGATGACACTGTCCAGTGTCTGGAGAAGTTAGTCGACATCACTCAAAGCAATGGACTGCAACGCAACCTGGTGGACGCCTACATGTGTCTGGGCAACATCTACTTGAAAATGGTATCTCCCACACACACACACACACACACACACACACACACACACACAGTGATACAAGTGATTATTAACCAATAAAACTGAATATTTTAGCAGTGATTATGATGATTTCTCTCAAATACAACAACTTTCTTTGGTCTCTCTCCCTCTTCCCCTCCCTCTCTCTCTCTCCCTCTCTCTCTCCCTCTCTCTCTCCCTCCCTCTCTCTCTCTCTCTCTATCGTCCCTCTTCTCTCTCTCTCTCTCTGCTCATCTCCAGCCTCTATATATCTCATCTCTCTGTGCCTCTCCCTCTCTCTCTCCTCTCGTCTCTCCCTCCCTCTCTCTCTCTCTCTCTCTCCCTCTCTCTCTCTCTCCCTCCCTCTCTCTCTCTCTCCCTCTCTCTCTCTCCAGGGTCAGTTCGAGAGAGCTTGTGAGTTCTTCCTTCAGGGTTATGAAGTTGCCTGTAACATAGAAGACTTGGCTCTGCTGCAGAAAGCACAGGTTCATGTTTTTAAATGTCTCTTCACACTGTGTCACAGCTGCTGGTTCATACAGAAACATTACTACTGTCACATTTCATACCATCACTCTTGTCATTGGATTTCCCACAACAAAGTATCTACAACGTCCATTTAGTGGCTGTTCTGGAGGTAAATTTCATTTATTTATTTACCTGTTTATTTAACAGACGTCATACAGACACATGTGCCTAACTACAGATAAACATTGTGGTAGATGTGATGTGTATTGGATGTGTATTCTCGATCTTGGAAATAGATGAGAACACAATCTAGCAGAAAATCGTGTGAAATGATTGAAAGCTCCAGAACAGCTACTAATAGACCTTGTAATGAGATTTTTTTTGTCTTCAGTGCCAGAGTTTATCCAGCGTCCACTAGCTCCTGATTTATGTTACCAGCCGTTCATCTGTCTGTTTCTGGCTCTGTGTGGACCAGGTGTTGGTGGGCAGCGCTCGCGCTCGCTGCCTGATCAGAAAATACAGCGCTGACGTGAAGTCGGCCACGCCCACGGCCCTGCGACGACTGGTGGCCTGGAAAGAGACCAGAGGATGTGAGGAGTTCAGTCCAGACTCTACAGATCCTGCTGCTGGTACTAACTCCTTATCAGACAATGATGCTGGTGAACACCAGTAAGACCAATACATTCTCCTTTATTCCTAAAACACACCTCTAATGACAGCTGTTTCATATATTGAATAAATCATATTCTGTAAATGTGTTTGATATAATCTCATTCCCTTGTTAACAGTCAAATTAGTGACTTAATAAATACACAAGAGACGTGTAAACCTGTATTTCCTCCTGTTGGAGAGGAGCGTCACCTAATCCCATTCTCCCCATGATCTGAGCTAATCCCAGCTAATCTGCAGACTAACACATGTTGATAAAAGAAAGGCATTGATCACTGATCTCGTCTGACTCTGGGTAAGAGAAAACAAACAAACCGATTACGAGATTACTCTTAATACTCGGCTCAGTTCAAACACATTTCAATCAAAAAAACATTTCAACAATTTCAATAACAAGTTCAGTTTTCCCCCGGGTTTCACTGTTGCTGTGAATCCACCACATTGGACCAGAGATATCTCAACATCTACTGGATGGAGTGCCATGACATTTGGTATAGATATCTGTTTCCCAGTAGATTAATCCTCCTGACTTTTCCTCTAGCGCCACCGTGAGGTCCACATTTGTGTGTGTGTGTGTGTGTGTGTGTGTGTGTGTGGGGGGGGGGTATTGTTTAAATATGGAGATAACAGTGTGTAGGCACAGAAATGGTCGGACACAGCTTCCCCCAATTCAGCGTCAGAAAGTGTTTCTCAAGCTATCCAACAGAGAATCAGAGTGTTCTGATATAATATATATATATGTATATAATATATGAAAGACATGTCACAAAGCTGAGAACAGGCCCAATTTAAAAGCTCATGTTTCAATCTTTGCCTTTATTTGATACCATGGAGTTGGGAGATGAACAGAAACCTGGGGGGAGAGTCTGGTCGGCTGGAAGTATGACATGTCAGACTTTCTCCCAAGCACATGAACGCAGCATGACAGTTAACAGCTCTAAATGATGTAAAGCTGGAAATGGCAGCACCAGATCACAGCTCCTGTTTGTACGATAATTAGCTAATAAACAGGTTTATAAACCATGTGGACAAACAGAAGAGCAGGCGGCCACTCCTGCTGTCCGTCAGCAGAGCAGAGGAAACGACGAAGAGGAGGAGGAGGATGAAGGTCTAAATATCTCATCAAACAGGAACTCCATTACAGCTAATAAAAACCATGATGCTGAAGTTGAACTGTGAACTGTTCTCTTCTCAGGTTCAACAACTATTATTATTCCAACTTTATGTAAAACTTGTACAGCTTGTGTTTTAATCACATTAAATTTTATTTGTTCATATTCTTTAGTAGTCAGTATTTATTTGATAAATATCAAATATATTTTGATATTTGATAAATATAAAATAAACATCATATTTATAATATATAAATATAAAATAAAAACATTTTCAGTTCATTTATTTACTTATTTGTCAAAATAGCTCATTTGAATGTTTGTCATTTATTTGTTTTAAAAAGCATACATAGCATTATTACATAGGTAGAAAATCACCCAAACACATATATTTTCTATATATCTCTCTATACATCACCTGTGTTTCCTGTGCTTCATTTGCGGTATTGTACCTGTATTATTCATGTTACCTCTAATACGGTAATTTAAAAAATCTGCCGCGCCTCTCCTTCGGTCTTTACGGCCTCGCTGAGGCCCATGTGTCCGGAAAAGGCTCCGGTTGTTCTGCTTGTGTTTTCTGACAGCAAAACCTCCGGAGCAGCAGCGGAGGAGTTGTAAAACTTGGGTCCCGCTGGTGTGACGGGGGGGCCGGCGGGGTGAACCGGTGAACCCCGCGGCTGAACGATGGGCCTCCTGGCGAGGATACGGAAGGAATGGTTCATCATCGGGATAGTGCTGGTCATCTTATCGGCCAAACTGCAGCCCAGCGTCGGTGTCAGAGGAGGTGAGTGTGTCGGAGTTTGGAGCCGCTCAGTGTTGAACCTCAACTGAAGTTCACTAAAGTCCTTAAACACGTCTGTATGTGGAAACAACCGCGTGACAAACACCTGGATCCGTGTTAAAGTAACTCACAACGGCGGCTACTGATGGCATGTTGGTGCCAGGCTTGGAAAGAGCTTCCCATCTTTATCTTTACTCCCGGCTCATGGTCGCACACAATGACGTAGAGATAAACTTCAGACCTTAAATTAACCGCTAGGAGCCACTGAGCACATCGGCACGAGAGTGTTTCTCTAGCCCGCGTTTTACTTTATGTAAACGGCCAACTTTTATACTTTCAGCTTTTCTCCCATCGCGCCAGGGACGACGGGCTGTAGGAACTGAGAGAAAACTGAACCTTAAAGTGTAATTTCTGAATAATCATGGATTACCTGGTGTACATGACGTATGCCGAAATAAAGATTGAATGTTATTGATTATGATACTGTATAAATGAATGTGATAATTAATGGGTATGTTTGTGCAAAAGCGAGACAATTGTAAATTCCCATATTTTCTAAAAGGGGATTCGTTATTAATTATATAAGAAGAAGTGACGCCGATTGGAGCGAGTAGACTCTCCCTCACAGTGTGTGTGTGTGTGCGTGTGTGTGTGTGTGTGCGTGCGTGCGTGTGTGTGTGCGTGTCTCCCCCCTACCTGGCGCTGTAGTGACACGTTGCATTCAGGAGCAGTAATGTCAGCAAGCCTCGGTTGGATGTCACTCACCACTCCTCGCTCCCGTGTGCGCGGCCACGATTGGCTCACATCATATGTTTTTATTTACTCATAATTAAACCTGGCTGTGGATTTAATCACGTGTGACCCACCGGAAGTGGCAATACGGGGTTTAGGAGGAAATGGAAGTTGTGATGAAGTTAAAGTGATGTTTCACTGAGAGAACTCAGCCATTCCCTGAACTGATAAGAGCACTCACTCACACCTCCACATCTTATCCTGTCGATAAGATAAGCTCCCTGCTGCTACTGTTAGGGTGTTGCCTTCAGGTGCTACTTGGAAACTCCTGCTTTAAAGAGCAGATGTTGCAGCCAAGTGCTTCCTTAATTAAATTGTGTCTTGGCTGCTGCTGCTTTCAGTTTTAAATCAAATTCATCAATGAAATTTCCCATTTAGCGTTATAATAATTTACAGCTCACGTGTCGAAATTATCTTTTTACTGATTTTTTTTTACTGTCATGACGTTCATGTGTGCTTAGCATGTTGCTGCAGTTGGACAGTGTAAGATTGGACTGTTGCCATGGTTTCAGTAGTAAATAAACTTGTGTTCCTCCCTCTCTCTCAGGTCCTCTGAAGCCAGAGATCACCATAGCGTACGTCGCCGTCTCGCTCATTTTCTTCAACAGCGGCCTGTCGCTGAAAACCGAGGTGAGAGAGCGACTGACACCGCGATCCTCCGCCTGTCACTAAACATACAAATACTCCACTGATTCATTCAGATCCCTGCCAGTCTGACGGAGGTGTTTTATTCTGTAGGAGTTGACCAGTGCGCTGCTCCACGTTCGCCTTCACCTGTTCGTTCAGTCCTTCACGCTGATCTTCTTCCCGCTGGCTGTCTGGCTGCTGCTCAGACTGCTGGCACTGACATCCATCGACCAATGGCTGCTCAGAGGGTAGGAAGTGTGTGTGTGTGTGTGTGTGTGTGTGTGTGTGTGTGTGTGTGTGTGTGTGTGTGTGTGTGTGTGTGTGTGTGTGTGTGAATGCCATCCTTTATTCAAGTCCCTGCCTCACTGTACCTCAAGGCTGAGTTATGTACAGACTGAAAGACCCACATTCATTGCCAGTACAGACACTGCTCTCTGTGTGTGTGTGTGTGTGTGTGTGTGTGTGTGTGTGTGTGTGTGTGTGTGTGTGTGTGTGTGTGTGTTGAACAGACGTCCAGTGTGATTATCAGTTTCCCCTTAAAATCAACATTATCCATGAACTAAGAAACTGTGGTGTAATGACTCTCCACACCACATGGGGGCGCTTTGCAATCAAAGACTAATTAAGAGACAGGAGGAAGCAGCTTCACTGATGGAGGTCCACCCTCACTGAGGATGTTCAGATCCCTCCAAGGATTCTCAGAGGAGGCGAGGAGGAACCACGTTAGTCAGATGGAAAAGGCGGGAAAAGAGGCGGCTCGCGAGTCATGTGACCAGTTTTTATTTGAAATAATGTCACAGTGGAAACATTTCAGCAGGAACCGATGACTGATAATTAGATGTTTTAATCATTATTTATTATATTATAATGACTTTTACATTGTTCTAATCAGTTTGTAAAGCTAAGCTAAGCTAAGCTAACCTCATGTGTCAGCTCCACACACTCACCTCTGACGTCTTGACTGACGGAGGAGAATAAAAAGTCCTCACAGGTACAGACAGATTCTTCTTCATCCTCCTCTTCCTCTCCGTCCTGGTGTTGTGGTTGCCTAGGTTACAGACGGTGAGCTGCATGCCCCCTCCGGTCTCCTCGGCTGTTATTCTCACCAAGGCTGTCGGAGGCAACGAGGTAACACACTCACATGTTGGCAGCTTATTATCCTCCAGTGTTTGACAAATGGAGTAATAACAAATAATAAGCAGTGTGTTGGCATGTTGTTGTCATGGTGACCTGTATGTGTGTGTGTGTGTGCTTCCAGGCTGCTGCCATCTTCAACTCAGCGTTTGGAAGCTTCTTGGTAAGACGTGGGTTTGATCTGTAGGTTTCAGGGTCGCTGTGTGTGTTTTTGTGAACGTGATGAAAGTGTAATTTCCCTTTAACGAGTCCAACAGTAATGAAACGTGAGTGTGAGCTCTGCGGGGAGTCCAGGCTGTAATCGTGTCTTTGTGTTCTGCAGGGAATCATCGTGACTCCCGTGCTGCTGCTGCTGTTTGTAAGTCGGACCTGCTGAGTTTTAACACACACACTGTGACTCCGTGTTCACCTCTAACCTGCAGTAACTGGTGTGTTGTTACCACCTGGCGTCAGTGCGACGAGCTGTAACCTAACCTGTATCACATGTCTCAATTCACTTAAACTACTGTGTACCTCTACGTTTTACTACATGTATCCAACAGCTGTAGTTACTAGTTACTTTACTGAATATATTTATAAAATTTAATACATTT